GTTCGGTGCTTCAAGCTCACCAGCTGCTCCTTGGAAACCCTATACAGCATTGCTATGGGTTGGAATCAACTCAACAGCACTTAACAACAACAATGTAGTATTTCTGCCTTTCGGATACAACAGACCCACAGCATCTCAAAGATGCAGAAAATGGTTGTTGCTAGGTGCCCTGGAGTAGATTCCAAGTCATAGTAACCCTTGTGGGCAGTGTAGAGTTGCCCATACGGCTTCTTTGGCTGCAATCCCTCCTTTTTTGGTTGGTAGCAGAGCATTTAACCACGGCACCACCGTGGCTCCTTTAGATACAAGGCCTGATCAAATCTTTAGGAAGTGATGAGGCTTGAGCACCTGTTATCTTTGTTTTTAATGTAATTCATTTTATTGTAAGTTTTCATAATGTAACTTTCAACGATGGCTGTGTTTAATAATCAGCTTGCAGGATTCCTGGAAATTTCACAAACAGCAGGCGGCACCAGCCAGCTCAGCCCAACACTGGTCTTAAAGGACAGAGGAAGTGATTGGGAAAGGGGCCTTCGTGTGGATCTGGCAAGGTGGGGGTGGGGGAAGCCTGGCCCAGGATTCTCTGGCTGGATGTCTATGTGGATGAGTCAGAAGGACAGGAGAGGGCCAATCAGGCAGGTCCGGCAGTACCCTGAGGATGGGAATGGTGGGGGCCAGGCAGGCAGGACTGGCCCATACTGGACCTGAGAGTCAATTCACCCGAGACGCCGTTTAACCCCGGTCCTGAGCAGAAAAATGCTCCCTTGGGAAGGGCACTAGTGTGTACTGAGGAGCTAGCTGCTGGGGTGCTAGAAAGGGTTGGGACACTTAGGAGGGGCTTGGAATGTTGGGTGCACTGGGAGGACTATGGGGGTGCTGGGGGCCCTGGGGGACTCTGGCCAGGGCACAGGGCCATCCCACCATACCACTTCGAGCCCACTTTTCAGCATGAGGGCCACCTGCCTTTTAGAAAAGGCACCCCTGCAGGGGGAGAGGGGAGGAGGCAGGGAGAGTCGTCATGAAGACACAGGTGGGGTCCTCCCAAGTCACAGCCCCTGGAGCACATTGGGTGCCTTGGTAAATATCCAGGCCCAAGTCCCCACTGGAGGGCATGTTTTGGGTGGTGTTTCTGTTCCTTGCTCCAGGTGCTTGGCTTGTGGGTACTCAGCTTGTTCATTGGGTTACATGGGCCACGATTCCTGCATTTTCTTGGTGTAGTTACAGACTACACCTGAGGACGCTGAATGAGGGGTGGACACAGGCTGTCCTTGGAGCAAAGTAGAGGCCATTCTGGATGCCACCAGGTGAGAATGGACAAGGCCAGGCCATGTGGCACCCTGTGAGATAGCCCTGGCCCCGAGACTGGCACGTGGGGTGACTCTGACAGAAGGGAGTGCTGAGTCATAGAGCCTCGGTTGCTCTTGCAACAGGCCCTGCCCGCCCACCAGCTCTGTGGGCAATGCGTCCTGCCCTGCTGGGGGAGCTGACCCTCATTCCCTTCACAGACCCCTCTGGAGTAAGAATCCCATCTTATATATAAGCTCTTGTTTCTTTCTAGAACCCTCCAGTTTACATTCATCCACTCTACTTTCTACTGCATTCTGAGCTTCTGTCCCCACTTTGCAGATGGGAAAACCAAGGCCAGGGAAGTCCAAGGTCACACACACATCTAGAGGGACAGGACTTGAGTTGGGGGTGGGGCTGGGGAGAGCGAGCCTGACCATCTCACACCACAGGAGTCCCCTCCCCATCCTTCCCACACACGACCCTGCTCATGAGGGCAGATCAGACTGGACCCCCCCCCCCCAACACACACACACTGAGGAGTCTCCCACCTGCCACCCTGGAGGAGCAGGCCTAACCAGTTCACCACAGGCTTTACCAAATTGCATCCACTGTGCAAACCCACCTAGCCTGGGGGGCCTCTCCAGACACTCTGCTCACCTCCAGTCAGGAGACACCCTGCCTGTCCCATTCCTGGGTCTCTGGAGATTCTGGGGTTCACAGGCAAAACCATGAGGCCCCCGTCTCTAGGAAGCTGCACCTCAC